CTGTTTTAATCGTTTTTTATTCTTCGAAAGAACATAACCAGTCCTCGTTCGGTACAATCGATTATAACAAATAATACTCTGTCGAGGAATAAATTGTGTGGAATGATTCGATATTTGATATACCGAATAACTTGGATATACCTTTTCAATACTATAGTAACAACCGGTAATACTACTATAGCGCTAGTGATTACTAGTGTTGCTACTCTGATATCATGTAACTCAGCGGCTAGTGATCGACTAACTAAAAGATTATTCTATATATATATATCTATTCCTTTGTATTCATTTATCTATATATTTGATACTTTTGTTTTCTTACTCTTTATAGATTTATAATTACTGTTCCTTTATATGTAACAAATATCTATATTATACAATACTTTTTCTTCTTTTGTATATATTCTTGAAATTAGTTGGTTGTTATAATGTTAGTGTAAATAAACATAATTTTAACGACAGAAATAAAAACAACCATCCGAGGTTTAAATTGTACGAACAATTTATATAATTCTATTTAGAATTTTATAACACAATCCAATTAATTTGTCAAAACAAATGAATAAACGTGGTCTTTGTTTTTATAAAACAAACTTTGTTTAATAAAACAATGACAGTCCGGAGAGTTTCAAAATTTGGAAAATTATGTCAAACACAAAAAATTAAGCATTAAGAAATACATTTTAACATTACCGTAACATATGTAAATAAGAATTATAGCACTTGGGAAATTTATTAATAACTGTACACGTTACCAAGAGCATTAAAATCTGCATGTGGAAGGAGTTGAGACTAGTATACTTGATAAAAAAAGTTAAACTGATAAATTATATAACGAATAATAATCGCGAAGCCTCTGGAAACTTGTTCATTTCAATAGGCAGCATCCTTAAACATTATTTTATTATTTATTATTTATTCAATCCTTGCCTACTAAGCTTAGGATGACTTCCAGTTTACATCTTTGCCTTTTCACTCTATGGTGAACTACAGTTACACATATTTTCTTACCCTAATCTATTATTCACAGCAGGAACCAGTATTCTTATTTAATCTACTCTAATAATCTAATAATCCATCAACAAAACGCAGATGAAAAGAAAGCCTACAATATCTATCAATTTAGACTCTAGTAATCTCATAATCTGATTGAAGAAGGAACATAAACTTGATCCAAAAACAAAACAAAAAGGAAATTTAACTATCACCAGTATCCTCAAACATCAAAGTCTGATAAAATGATGGATCTCTTCTCTGGCTCTCTTCGGATGCGTTGAAAAAAAAAAAAAAAAACACATGTTCAGCAAGAATATTAGTCCGAGGACTTTGTAACTGGTTGTTTTTCGTACGTTATCCCGATGAGATTTAATCATGGAAGGCTACCACGGTTCCGAGATCGGTGAAAAGATCTTGGAAAGGGAGACGACGTTTCGGAAAGGAAAATCATCAATGATCTAAAGCTCATCGGTTCGTAGGCTAACCGACAGGTGTAGTTTATCTGAAGAATCGAATCGAGATAATCTTCCCTCGTACGCCTCGTGACGATTCTCATCTGTAAGATTCGGTGGCAGAATTGGATTCAGGGGCGTCCTTATCTCACCATCTGGGTCTTCGTTTCTCGTTCGTGTGTCTCGATCTTCGTTACTCCCGTGTAGTCTTGCAGTCAGGCTTTGTTCCTTCGGTTAAATCCCACGCACGCACATCTCGCCAGTATAGGAAGACAAGACGACGCCATCGCTTGGCCTCTCGTCGATGATGCATTCGTGCTGGCCAGCAGTAGGAAGGACTTCGAGCGACGCACGAAAACTCGCAAGCAGCGAGCAAGATTTACGTCCTCGATTCGTGAACGATCGAGGACTCTCATCATTTCATCATAACGGCGACGTTCGCCGCCTTCGAGAACAAGATCTAGATTCTATATTCGTCTTTTTGAACACTTTCGTCGTCTCAGTTTCTTTTCAGTAGCTTTCAGATACTCGGACGTTTCTTTTGTTAAGAAAAAACGTTACAGTTTTGATATGAAAAGTAGAAAGTGGAATTGATGTTGAATTGAATTTTTCAAGGCTTCTCCCTGACACTTTATTTTTGTATTGTTATCATTTCTTTGCTATTTTGTATTTCTTTAACACTAACGCATATTTCCCCGCACAGTTGGCAATGCAATAACCTACACAACTCTTCTTAACAGATAACTACCGATACAACTGTGAGTTTACTGTGCGCTTTGTGTCAATAACGACTTTTATTATTACAATTGGTATATCGTTCAGTCCAATTTTTTCCTTTCATTTTCGTTTCATTATGAACAAACGTCCAGAAAATCGGTTGAACGAGATAGACGGATGATCTCGCCATCGTTCTGCGTGTGCACGAGCGAGCATGCCAAGGAAGAGAAATGGACCGGAAAAGGTGGAAAGGCAGCGGAGGCCTGATACGAAGCCATCGCTAGCCGATCAGTCGTACACAGGCCCGAAGACACGGTGTGTAGAGAACAAGAAACGCTTTTCAGCATGGGAGTGAGAGTGTGGAACAGGTGTACATTCGAGAAAGCATATACCTGTATATGCATCCACGGAGGTTGCTGCCTTCTCTGCTGTGCCAGGTGTTCAAGAAACGCTCGGAATTCATTACGTCGAACTTCTGACCCCGAAGCGTTTATTAGCCACGATCTATTGCTCAATACGAAGCGTGCGCCGCGTCTTGTTACTCGTTAATCGTACACTATTCTATTCCATATGCATTCTATAATGACACAATCTTCCTTCGCGTTTTTCAATTTGATGAGGAAATTTTGAAACGCAAAATTGTTTATATCTACGTTCAGTATTTCTAAAGTATAAAAATTCAACCCCTTAACGCTGGAATGACGTGCTACGCACGTCGAGAATTTTTTTTGTCCCAAAATTGCAATATTTTCTCAGTTTTAAGTATAACCAAATACACAGGCACAACAAATAATAAACTTATTACTTCTCAATAATTTCTATCCAGTGATATCATACTGACGAGTTCAAAAAGAAAGCGACGAATTGGTCACTCGTTATGGTCCGCAATCAGTTGCCAGCACAAGTGGTTAAATATAAATTCAATACTCTAAGTGATAAACATGATATAGGTAACGAAAGTACTACAGCATAAAATATTAAATAAAAAGCATTATATCGAAATTTTTTATATCCTCACTTTTTTTATATAGTTACAATTATATAAAAAATTAATAAATTTAAATTTATTTTCAATATTCAATATAATTAATTTCTAAAAAATTCAAAATAATAAAATTAATACATTTGAATGATAATTTAAACTAATGTTTCTTATAATTATTCTTCAATTAAATCAATTAAATTTAAATAAAAAAAACTTTTACTATAAAAAGAACTTATATTTAATATGAAAATATAGAAAATATTGTGCTTTTTGTAATATTCAGCACGTAAATAATTTTTTACCAAGCTTTCATTTCTTTCTTTTTTTATTACATTTTTCAAAATATATATTAAAAATCTGCTATGTATTTATTTTAAATTGTTTTATCGAAACTTGTGATTGGTTTCATAATTTATTTTTATGAATTTTAATGAAATTGTAACGTATGGAACTTTTGTTTCGATCGACAATTGTAAAATTTGAGCTTCTATTTATAACAAATAAAACAATCATAGGAATTCCATTTATCAAATTTCCAATTAAACCTTTTACTCCTTAGATCTACTCACTTGATCATAAATTTCTATTATGTGAAAAAAAAAATCAATAGTAGTAGAGAATCAGTAATAGTAGAGGATCAGTAATCAGTGGATTCTTATAAAAATTATTTTTTTTCATCCAACGAATTCATACGAAGATTTAAATCTTCCAAAGATGAAACAGAACAGAATCATTAGAAGATATAGAACAAAAAAAAATGTATTTAAATTTAAGAATCATTGAAAAATTGTGTTAAAGGATATTGAAAAATTCAAGTCATACAGTGACTTGATCAAATGTTATAAATATTGCTAAAATCATCACACTACGCTTCCACTTGTGTAACTATTTATGAAAAAAATTTTTTTAGTGACTTTAGGGATGTTTGAAGTTTTACAATTTTCGGAAAGGAAAGTATCTTTACATCTCATCTACGGCACAGGAACAAGAATATCTTTGAAAAAAAACGAACTTAAGATTGTCAAAATAAAGACTAACTGGATCTTTGTATAATTTTTTTCACGAAATTATTAATTTAAAATATCGACAATTTTTCATCGAGTATATGAACTATTTTGTGATTGTATGTATAAAATGTGCACACACACACACACACACACACACACACACACACACACACACACAGAATATATTCACTAATGTAAAATTTCATTCGATATAAAATTTCATAAACAAATGAAAAAAAACAGTTTTAAAATGTTAGAACAAAGTTAATTTTTATCAAAGTACCTCCCTTCAAAAAAATAAAAATTTAAAATTAAATACAATTATAAATGCTTACTATAATATATTACATATGTGCTGCTTCAATTACTGAGCACTAAAATTTAGTAAATACACAGAATGTACTTGCTTCTACGATATTTCGCAGACCATCGAAAGATAAATCACAGGCAGAACATCTTAAAATTAATTACTTCCTATGCTATATTGAAAATGGTTTATCTTTTCAATTACTTTGTAATATAAAACTTTACGTAAGTATAAATTTACTACATTTACTAAATTTACTAAATTAACAAACTGTTATAATTAATATAATTATATATATGTATATATTATTATATTATTTAATATATATTAATGTGAAATATTAAATTAGTTTCCGTATTCTTTCTCATGATAAAGATTTTCTTCGCATTTTATTCTTAGTATAATTTATATAATGCAATATATCTATCTATTTGATCCAAACTATTTTGAGTCTTTGATCTAAAGATAGACAAAAGATCATAAAACCTTGTAAAGAGAAGTCAAAAGCAATTGCAAGATGATGAATTTTTACTTACCAGATCGATCTGCGGGATGTACTGACAGATACAATCCCTTGTTTCCATCAGGATTATTCACCCAATGATCGAGAGCTTCACTAACATTTAATGTCAACCATCCTTCTTTTCCTGCCGTCGTATTAACTGCGTCTACGTATTGTAACTCTCTTGTCCTACAATGTGAAAAAATACAATCATATGAATTGTGAAAATTAATACAATTATGAAAATTTCAATTTTAAAATGTAACGTTACATATCTATATAAAAGAAAAAAAATCTTATCATATTAGAAAAATTGATTTAACTTAAATCCATTTAATATCCTAACTCTATTCTCTACTTTATTTTTTGCATATCCAATTCTATTCCCATTTATTAATTACTTGAAAAATTTAGAATTGATAATATAATTAAATTTATGATAATAGATATTTGACACAGTTTTGAAAACTTAACTTTATTAATTTGCAAAATTTTACAAATTTTGATTAAAATAATTTATAATTAAATTAAAATGTAAACATATAATAAGAAATATATAATAATTAAAATTCTAATATGTTTATAATAAATTATATATATAGCCAAGCAAAATAATGTGCAAAATAGAGTCAAATTTTGAAAACAAAATTTATCAAATATTCTGTTTTAGTGCTAATGTTACTTCATGACTAACAATAAGCTATAAGCATTGCAACGCATTAAGTGCTAAATGCTTGTTAGTGTCACTAATATCTCTGCAATTTTCCTTGCATACATCAAGGAAAACTTACGTTATTCATTACGTTAACACGCAATTGTGTGGACAGCGAACAGAAAATACACGAGTTACAAGGAAATTAACTCGCTGATCAAAACAAACATCTTCTCTCTCTCTCTCTCTCTCTCCCCTTTCAATAGCTCCATAAATTTCTATAATTCCTCAAATGAAACTTCAAATATTTTCTTATCCTATGCAAAATTATGAATTGTTAATAAGTACTATTAACAGCATTATTAACTGTCCATATTAGATACTATTCGTGCGTAAATATCTGAACATCTTAGTTATAAAATGCGAAAATTAGTTAAAATAAGGTTTATAATCTATTATTTGCCATTTGCCTGTAAAACCTATGAATTAGAAATCTAAGTTATATTTGAAATATCCGATTCGCTGATACAATTATTGGATACAAATGTCATTACTTGAAATGATATCAGAAATAACTTGAACATAAAAAATAATGATAAATAAATTTTCAAATAATGAAACAATTCCATAATGATTAACACTTGTGAAACGATTAACTTCATTATTAAATCATATTATTATTAGCTTTTAAAAATTTAACACGCATAATCAAAATATAAATTATAGAAACAGTAAAAAAATAACAAATTTATGTTAAGATAGCAATATCATAATACATCAATCAAAGAGAATTAAACATTTATATTAAAATTTATATTAAAATACTGTAATATATCTGCTTTTATATATTAATACAGTTAATTTAAATATAGATGTATTTCTTTTTAATAACATATTTCTGCAAGTGTTTTCAGTCTTCAAAATATCTACACCAAATAGAATTTCTTGTTATAATTAATTATATGATCATTTTGTAATTGTTCAGATAACGAACTAAAAATTTATATTTTGTTTATTTGATCTCTTAAGAGGTATTGACATGTATGTAAATTTTTAGTTTTTTTTATTTCATATAAATATCATTATAAGATGCAAAGGTAGACTAATCATAAATGTTATTTTTTTCGAGCATTTCAAAATATTGTCCACTTCTATTAGTATCTAAAAATACACGTGCAATAAATAAGACCAAGAAATAAGAAATAATTATTTGTTTCTAACCTTAATATATATATTCATGTCTAAGAATGTTAGTTATCATTGAAAATACATAAGATACTTAACATATACATCAAAATTAAAATACCAATTCCGTCATTGCAATAATTTATTTGAGATTAATTAATTTAATTTAAGTCAAAATATACAAATTTTAGAATTAAGATTAACTATTTACTTTTTATCTTAATTATTTGCATTTATAATTATTAACAATTTATAATAAAAATTAAATTTTTGCGAGTGAGAGACAAAATATGTCAAGATAAAAAAGCATATTCTATTATACGCGACAGAAAATATTTTCATCTAATCATTCATTTTTATGTACAATATATATATATATATATATTTGGGCAATTAACAAATAAGCATCAAGAATGTTAATCAGCAAAAACCAGGAACGAACGTATGGTCAAAGACGTATATTGTTTCTCTAATAGGAATCGTTGCACGGCTTTAAGTCGCGCAATTCATCGATAAAATCGATCAGTAGGAAACCACTGATTCTTATGTAACTGAGATACACACCGAGGAAGCTTGCGCGACCATTCGCCGTGATTCCTTCTCGATGGTGACTTGACGATTCGTGCAAATTCATCTTGCACGTGGCTCGTGTCAATAAGATTTCAGTGAAACACACATAATCATTGTTCATTGAGCGAACGGGCTCATCTCCGATCTCCACGGTCAAAGACATTTCTTAAACGACGCATTTATCTTTTTCCCGAGAAACGCATTTATCTCATTCCCATAATTGGATAATTGGGAATGCTAAAAATGTACACAGACGCAGGACGAATACTTGACGTTCCTGCATACATATATATTTTTCACTGGAGAAGATTTTTCACAGTAAGGATTATTTCCCTATAAATACGGAAATTCTTTTTATATTTTTTTGTTTCTTTTCGTTCTTTTTTATCTTTGGAAATATTTAATGAATTTTTATCATATTAAAATATCATAATATTATATTAATATTTACTAATTTTTTGAATTACTGGGATTCTCTTTTGTTAGTTAATCTTGTCTGATTTAGAAGTGTCTTTATGCAATAGATTTAATTAATACATTCATAAATTCGCGTTTAATAAATTGATAAGCATTATAAATTTACAATGTATGAAATTTATTATATTTATTTTCTTCTACAGATAAAAAAAAAAATTCTAATAAAATTCTAAAATATTACGTAGCATTAGAATGCAAATTTTTATGTATTTATAGGAAATTTAAAGGCGTAAAAAATATACACTGCATAGAATACTAAAAAATAAATAAAATATTCGTAATTAGAATACTTATTATAATATTTAACAGGAGTAGGAATGAAATTTCTAATCTAATCATATTATATTATATCGATATTTATCAATTCTTTGAATTTTTAAAATTTCCTTGGTACGTTTAATATTCATTGATTTAAATATATTTTTATCTCTGCACGAATATTTAATAAGTGTACGTTTAATTTTCCTACATCTTATTATCAATTATAACTTAATAGCAATTTAATCATCTCTACTTATTTAAAAACATTTTTGTAAAAAAAAAGATTTAACGAAACAATTTAATTTATCCCTAGTAGTTTCCACAGTTTGTGAATTCCCCGAATGTAAAATTTATTCATTTTCCCAGAAATAATTTAAATAATATAATTATATGTTTCACATTCATATGACACAAAAATATTTATTGAAATTAATTCTTTTTAATGTGTTCTAACAGATGCGGCTGTTAAATTGTTTTTCTTCGTTTGAGAATGAATTCTTGAATAGCAAAGCATTGAGTTGAATATATTTTAGCCTCGTAGCTATGCAACTGACGAAGAACCACGTAGTTATCAATCAATTTTTAACTTTCCTGAGATGTGTATTTGAATTTCAAAGTGCAGCTGTTATAACGTGATAAACAGGACATTATTTCCATGGCAAATTGAATACCATTATTCAATGACACATACTGATGGAATCTTAACAATTTGTTGAATGCAAAATGTGAATAGGAAAACAATTGATAGGAAAATAATACAAATGTATATACAGTGTGTTCCGTTTAAGTGAATACGGTGTAATATCTCACAAGGAATTGAAGTTACAAGAAAAACGTTCTTCTAAATGTTATTTGATATAAAGAGACATATTATGTCTCTTATTCTTGTTATTAATGGTTCTGTAGGTGGAGTTCTGAGATTTCATTTCAACTTAATTTCTTTAAATAGAACCATATAATTTCGAATTATAATTAATCTGGACGTTTTCTATAAAAAAAAAATATTAACCCATTTATGTATATTTTAGTTTTAATTTTGTGAAATCTATCATACAAAAGAGTGTTTCTCACATTTCATATTTTTGTTCAAACATACTGGCAAAGGTTGAATGCAAGAACCGTGTATATGAAAATTATTATTATACAAGTGCATATCTGTACATTGAACATAACTTAAACTTTACAATAATTCAAATTTTACAATTTGATATTTCTACTTTATTTTAACTTAAAATTCTAAATTATGAATAATTTGCAGCACATATGCTATAAATGAGTTACAAATAATAGCTATAATAGCTATAAATAAATTTAACTAATTATAGCAGAAATTATTAGAACTATTAATAAATTTAAATAATTATATCAGAAATTATAGCTAAAATATAATTATAGCTAAAATTATTCAAATATTTGAAAACTCTGTCAATCTACAAAATTTCCATGAAAAATTATAAATTGGTCATACTGACCATATTAGTTCTATTGTTAATGATTGCATTAATGCGTCATTTCGTTTACATTTTTTTAGTCATTTACATTATTATTAATTTTCCGTATAACATTTTGGTTGTGAAACTCTAAAAAATACTTAATATTCTTTTCCTCATTATACTTCACTTTTATATTAGATTCTGTAATGTTTTGAAATTTCAAAGAATTGATCTATCTGTAAGCTGTTACTTCAACTTTAATAAATTTTAGTTGCCAAAAATGGTATACAATTCCAAATAGAAAATTACAGAAAATTACAGAAAAAATCCTAAATAAATAAATTCAACGATTCAAAGAATTGTAACTGGAATAACATCATTACTTTTACATATTAATATTAATAGTTTTAATTTTATCTTAATATTGAGAACAGTGAGTTTCTTGATGTTGAATACTTTATTTATTCGAAATAAATTTCAAGTAAAATGAATATTTATTAAACTAATGTACATAATAGTACTCACTTTCTACCCAAATTCTCATTATATCTCTTATATTCAAAGTAAGACATGAACTGAAGTTATACACAAATAATATATAAATAATAAAT